TCCAAAATCCGTTGTTGTGCCAGAAAAGATCGATGCTGTGCGTGAACTGATAAAGCAAGATCGTCATGTGACATACCGTGAGATAGAGGCGTCTTTGGACATTAGTATGACTAGCATCAATAAAATATTGCATGAACATTTGAGCGTAAAAAAAATTTGTTCGCGTTGGATCCCGCATAATCTGACAAACGCTCAAAAAAAGGCTCGTGTCGATTGGTGCAAGGAAATGTTGGAAAAATACGTTCAAGGTACATCAAAGGCTGTGTATAACATCTACACAGGTGACGAATCATGGATCTATGCATATGAGCCGGAAACAAAACAGCAATCAACTGTATGGGTCTTCCAAGACGAGGCAAAACCAACAAAAGTTGTTCGAGGAAGAAGCACATCGAAACAAATGATTGCCTGTTTCTTCGGCATTAACGGTCATGTGGCAACAGTGGCGTTAGAGCAACGCAGGACGGTCAATTCTGAATGGTACACGACCATTTGTTTGCCAGAAGTCATCGGAGAAATTCGAAAAAAGCAGAAGAACAGGCGAATCATTCTTCATCATGACAATGCGAGCTCTCACACATCGACTCAAACAAAGGCATTTCTGACGGAGCGAAAGATCGAACTGATGGGTCATCCGCCGTACAGCCCTGATTTGGCACCCAATGACTTCTTCTTATTCCCACACATCAAAAATAAATTACGTGGACAACGATTTTCGACCCCCGAAGAAGCGGTTGATGCATTCAAAACGCATGTTTTGGAGTTACCTCAATCGGACTGGAAAAAGTGCTTTGAAAATTGGTTCAAACGCATGCAAAAGTGTATTGATCATCATGGAGAATATTTTGAAAAACAATAAAACCAATTTCGATCCTACATGTTTGTTTTTTCATTATTAGGCCAGAAATATTAATAGCAACCCTCGTAACAACTGCTGAATAACTGATAGGACAACAATGTGGTTTTACAATCAAATCATCTCATTATTTTGAACCCACTCCAGAAGACAAGGGAATTCCTGGATCGGGCATAGGGAGAAATTTGCCTTCGTTGAGGACTTTTTGATGGAACTAACTCGCATTTGCGTTACCCGTACAGGAAAACCACGAAAACAACCCCCAGTTAGCCTTAAGACAAGAGGAAAAACATTGGATTTGAAAAAAACCACATAAATTGATGAAAAACGATAAATACCAAAAACATTATCAATAAATGATGTGGTATTATGATGAAATAGAACACGTCAAAAACTCGTAACAAACTTGAAATTTGGGAGTTGCAATAAACAGTGAAATTTAAAAAAACCACGAGGGAAACACTGAAAAATGATTGAAAATTAACATGGATTTAAGAAGGACTCGTCACGTAGTGAAGAGGTCAAACATTGATAGCTCAAATTCGAAATTTGGGTGTCTTCATTGCATTTTATAAGTATTGCAGTAAAAAGGTGTTAAAAGAACAAGTGGGAATAGCCGAAAAAGCGCTGCAGAATCACAAAAGAGCCCAAAAGGGAGCTTGAATAAATCGTTAAGGTATGATCACTTCTCAAATCTGAAATTCACTTGCCTTAATAACATCATGCTAATTACAAACATTGGAATTTGTAAAGACAGGTCGAAATGTCTGAAAAACTGATTGCAGATTGACATAGATTTGTATAGAGTATGTCAACAAATTATAACTCAAATTTTAAATTTGTATGTTATAACCACATAACATTAAAAGAAAAATCAAAGTTTTGTATTTAAAATAATAAAATATAAAATTTCTTTCACATTTTTGCCCTTAAAAAATTAAGAGCTTTTAAGCACATTAAACCTAAAATAAGGTGTGTTAAATAAAGTAAGGTAATAAACCTCAAAATAAAGTTAATTTTTGTGAGCAAAATGAAGAACTATTAAGCACTTTTAGAGCAAATATGAAATTGCATGTATTTGTTAGAATTTTAAATAATATTTTTGCTCTATTTTCACAAATAGTTATGTTTGATTGATTGGTCAAAATTTTGAGTCACAGTAATCTTTTCTTTAAACTTGATTGCACAAATTCTATCTGTTATTTCAAACTCTTTGAAATTTTGTTTGGTAACAATCAATAGAGGTAAGAAAGTACAGTAATTTCCGGTAAATAGGCCGCGGCCTATATGTGTTTAAAAGTTGGGCTGTCACGATGCGCGGCCTATATGTAGAATTTTTTTATCCCATCCCACAAGTGAGAATTTTTTGATCATGGTGGATTTATTCAAAATCAGATGTTTAGCAAAAATTTTCCAAAATAACGAACCTAATTCGTAATGTTTACTCTGGTAATGTTTTTCTTTCTTATTTTTTTAAATGAATTTGCCGAATTTCAGATCGCTTTCGGAAATTCCAATATGGCGCCCATATATTACGATAATTCAATTATACTGTTAATTTCCGAAAATTAATTAATTACAATAAATTTAGCTCAGTTTTGATCGTAGATTATGATGGGGTGAATTTAAAAATTTCCCATCTTAAGAAATTTCATTAATTAAAATAATTATCTATATTATAGAAATAACAATATATATTTTTAATAAGCTAACAACTAATGATTAAAAAACAAGCTAACAACTAAATACAATTTAAAAATAAAAACTAGCTTTCAAATAATAAAAAAAATAGCAATTAATATCTAATAAAAAACAAAAGAGATTGATTTACATCGAATAAAAAGAAGCCTCAAAAGGGATAGAATTCATTTTGTATCCCACTTGGTAGTTTCAATTTCAAAAGGGTGTGGCTAATTTATGGTCAAACTGGAGGGGGAAAAAATGGGGACAAATGAGTAGAGCATTTCCACAGCTGTCAAGATTGATTTATCAGTTTCTTCCAACTTGCATTTCTTTATTTTGTTCATTGGAAATGCAGATGTTTTTACTTTTCCCTTTATTTTAAACTGCTTTTAGAAACAGATGTTTCCTTTGACTCAGATTTGTTTTCATGTTTTTTTTTTAAGATAAAATAAAGTTACTTCATCAGAATAAAATTCAAATAAAAAGAGAATTATACTGATTTTTTTTTCTCTTGTTAATAAAAATTTCTTCTAAGAAAAAAAAAAGAAAAAGGGATCAGATTAAGTGCTGAATATCCGGCAGTGAAGAATCAGATTTCGATGGTTTTGAATAGATATATGCTCAAAAATATTTGAAAAGTATAAATAAATAAATGCTGATTTATTTTGTGATTAGTTTATTTTTTATCGCATACACATCCTTAACTTAGGATCATTCTCAATTCTTTTTTTTTTTGATAAGTATACATAAAAATGAGGATGATAATGTAATGAGTATACATAAAAAAATATTTATCAATAACTTTTTTCTAAGTATAGAGTTTATATTTTAAAGATTATTATTTTTTATGAGTATTTTCACACATGTGATATTTTATAAAAATCGATGATCGATCGAAAAAACGAAAGTGCGGCCTTTACGACGGTGCGGCCTATAAGATGAAAATTGAAATTTTTAACGATGTTTTTTGCGGGTGCGGCCAGTACGGCGGTGCGGCCTATTTACCGGAAATTACTGTAGATATGATCAGATCTTCCAGTCCTGACTAATCTCTGAATCACAGGGTGGCTGCTTGTTGCAGTGCCTGAGACATTGGGAGGTCAAATCACCCACTGGCTTGGTTTGAACCTTGTAGCTCAGAATGTTCCCTTCAAATGTGACTAGATGGCACTGTGTACCGCTCCCCTATATTCGTACACCAAGTCATTAAGTATATCGGGTGAGATGAAAGGCTGGGATGGCAATTTTTCATCTCTTTCTCTGCATTAAATGCACACCTTCTGAATTGGAAGCATTTTATTTTTAAGTTAAAAATGTCATTATCAGTTACCAGATAATTTCAATAAGAGACCTCATAGTGGGCCAAAGAAACCAGAACAAAATTTTTCAAAATAATTTGGTCATTTTTAGGCTAATTTAAAAAACACAAACAACAAATTAAAAACAGTATAATTTGCTCAACTTAAATATAACAAAGAGAAATTTTATAGAAAAAGAATAATCAAGGTACTATACTATTTTTAATTTTAGAATTATTTTGTTTAAAACATGATTTCTGTTAAATTATAACTGATTTTCATAGGCTTTGACCAATGGAAAGGAAAAGCCGTGTTAGAGCTTTTGAAACTCCATATTAGCTTCCAAATTACACTGCTTATCAATTGGTCAAGAAAGTTATAGAATTACAGTTTGACCTATACTAGAAGTGAATAGAAAAATAGAAGTGAAGATGGTTAAGCAAGACGTTTCATTAGATATAATTTATACATGGAGAGTTGCATAAGTAATTTTGAATCTCATGTTAGAATACAAATTACATTCCTTATCACTGAAGCAAAGATAAAAATGAAGACAATGGACAAATTGCAGTTTGATCTATTCTTAGAGAAATAGAAACAGATGATATTTATAAAGAAAAGGTTTTCCTGGATTTCTCATCCTTCTTTTTAAAAACTGAAAATTTTTTTAAGTCCAGAATTGGTACAAACATAAAAATTGAGCTTTATAGAGAATAACTAGAAAGTATTGTTATTAATTTTTTTCTCATAATTTTATTTGCTGAGCATATCTGATTCAATATTTTTAAACCTCTTATATTAATAGAGATTTTCCCTGCTAAAGAAAAGTACAATTTTTTTATAAAATCATTATTTTACATTGTATGTCATTTTGAGTACAATACTCCCAAATTTCATTTACTCATCAACTAGTAACCAATTTCATAAAGCAATACTCAGTCACTATCATTATAGATGAATTACTGCATTTTATTACTGTTTTATATGCATTTTGAATTGCTATAGGCATTGCACCCATGAAAATTGATATAAAGATATGAATTTTACAACTGCGGTATCTTTTTAGCATCAATTTGAAAACTTAAAATAAGTTAACTATATTTAAATTGTATTTATTGCCAACTTGTGTACAATCTCATTGTTGGTTAGCCATTATTGATTACCATCATTCTGCTCCACAGGCCATTCATAATTGTTCATTATTTTTGGAGTGTACATTCTGTGAAATCTCATTGACAACTGAAAGCCTAGAACCAAAAATATAGGTCAAGAAGAAAAAATTGCAAAGCTTGAATTTTACAAAACAAACTTAGGCTAAATAAATTAACGTATGCTGTATATATTCAAAAAATATGAACCAAATTTTATTTAAATACTTTCCTTTTATGTAAGATCAAAGTATTTTATCATTTTTCCTTTTATTGCATGTAAAAAAATTTTTTTAATGATTATAGATGAAAACAATAGGAGTTTAAGGGAAACAAAACACGATGCAATTATACAGCAAGGCATTTACTCAAACTATTCGTTTTCGAAAAAAAATCATATAACTATTTTAAAATCAAAAAATATTTCATAAATAAAATAAATTAATTTAGAATTAAAATCAAAAAAATAATCAAATCTTAATTAAATTTAGAAATATATTTAAAAATGACAGAGTGATTGAAAATTTTATTAATAAAAGCTTTTTCAAGGACTAAGCCAAAACAATTGCAAGCTTGCAAAAAGCAATTTACACAGTAAAATAGCTTCAATCATAATATATAATTTTAAAATTAACATACCATAAGTTGTAAAGAAAAGCATGTGACATTTTAAACAAACAAGTCATATTAAACTGCATTAAAATTTTTAATACATTTCCGAAATTTTCAAGATCAAAGAATGGGGGAAAATGAAATGTTTATAATAAACAGTAAAGTACCAATCAAATAGCAAAAATATCAATGAATAAAAGAGTCATTTATATGAAAAGAAATACAAATTTTTTTTCACAAATCTAACAGAAAAAGAATTTAAAAACATACTTCTAATTCTTGCATCACTTTATCAAAAAAGTCAGTAGGATTCTTCTTATAAAGCACAGCATTTTTAATTGCATCATTAAAAAGCTATAAAAAAGTTAAGAGAGACTAATATTAATATATATGATCTCTTTTTGCTAAGTAACTTAGTACATTATTTGTTACGCACCTAATTTCTTCAAGCAATATTAGCAATGTATCAGTCAAGTTATCAGAAACAATTAGAGAATATAATAACTTACAGTATATATACAAAGAAGTAGTTAAATTGAAATCAATGTGGCTATCATTATTAAATTGGGCTGACAATTAACAATACAACATTTTAACAGCAAACAATACAAATGGAAATGCTAAGAAAAAAACAACTGAGAAATTAGCTTTTGATTATCTGACACCTGAAACATTACCTCAGTTATCTAACACATATGCTATATTATATAGCTATAGAAGAAGGTGGAGACGAAACAAAGAATCACGTGTCAGTTTTTATTTCATTCAAAGTAAAAATGCAAGTTTGGAAAATATTTCTTTTGATGAATTCCTGGATCGGTTAAAGTGCAAATAAAGACAAAGTTGTCATCAACTTAGTTCAGAGCACAATAAATACAATAGCATTTGAATCTGCCTATTAGTATTAGTACTGTAACTCTTATGGATGTAAAAGTCATTTCACCTTAATAATTTTGAATCTGATATAAAGCTGAGGTTATCTAATTACTACTGTTATGAAAATTTGAAACCTGCTGGTTAACAAACAAAGAAATAAAAAGAAAAAAGTGTCAAGCCTTTGTCCTGCTACTGTATTATTTATGATAACAATTAATTTCAGTCACCAGTTATTTTTAGTTCATTGATTAGACACTTAAACAAAAACCAACTGGGAAAGGTTCCCCAACAATTTGATGATTTTGGAAAGGATGTCCTATAATCTCAGGAATTGTACTCTTTAGTTTATATTTACTTAACTGAAACTGATATCTTAAAATATTGTATAAATTTTTTAACAGGTTAACATGGAGTATTTTAACATGGTATAATAACAAATTTTTTTAAATATGAAGTATAAATACACAACTAGTATTATTCTAAATACTTAACTATGTATAAACTAACAAAATAATGATTCCAGTATAGTGCAGGATATGTTAGAGAAGTGTTACATAAGCATAAAAAACTAATCAAAATAATGAAGTGACTGAGTTCTCAAAAAAAAAATAATCAAAATAATGAAGTGACTGAGTTCTCAAAAAATAAGTAATACACATAGCTCTAAAAATCAGTCTGAAAATTTTATATCAATTTGAGAACAAAAAGTAAATTTCTTTAAAAATGTACTTTAACAAATGAAAATTAAATAATTATATATTAATAATATGCCAAATGCATGTGAAATTAAATAAAAAAAAAGGAAAAGAAATAATCAATGCTACTTATATATGTAAAAAGCTTGCTATTTAATATAAGTATAAGAGAATTAGTTTACCCATAACTTGTAACAATTTGTTCACTAATGTTTAATACTTATTTAAGTCGAACAAGGAGTCTTTTATATTCCTAACTTGCAATAACAGTATTAATATAAATCATAACCTTCAGCGACACATTTAACACACCGGCTGATAAGTTTCCGGTCTGACATAGAGATGGCGCCCTAAATGCAGAATTAGTATTTTGTTTAGCAAGTCCTAACCTTCAAATAAAAGGTGTCAAAATTTTATAATGATCTGTAGATTGGTTTTAAAGTTACAGTGATTTTAATCTTTGGCCTCAAAATAGGCGTTTGTTTCGACAATCACTTCCTCATTCGTGCTGAATCTCTTACCCGCAAGCATTTTTTTCAAGTCTGGAAACAAGTAGAAGTCACTAGGAGCCAAATCTGGTGAATAGGGGGTGTCTGACACAACATCAAACAGCTCTCGGAATCATCAATTCGTTGTTGTTTTTGGTCAACTGTTAAGCATACGCGGCACTCACTTCGAAAACAGCTTTCTCATAAACAAGTGTTCGTGTAAAATAAAGCCTACACGCTCTTTTGATATATTTAGAGTACCAGCTACGTCATGCAACTTCACTTTGCGGTTTTCTATAACAATTTTGAGGACTTTTATTATGTTTTCCGGATTAACATCATCTTTAGGGCGTCCAGAGCGTGGCTCATCTTCAACATTTGTACGACCACGTTTAAAATCAGCAAACCAGTCAATAATGGTCGATTTTCCTGCTGAAGAACCCGGATAACACTTATCGAGCCAAGCTTCAGTTTCTACCGTGTTTTTTCCCATTAAATAACAATGTTTAATAAGAGCACTGAATTCTTTTTTATCCATTGCTTCAATAATATAAATTGGTGTTCGATTAAAATCACTGTAACTTTAAAATCAATCTACAGATTATAAAATTTTCACACCTTTTATTTGAAGGTCAGGACTTGCTTAACAAAATACTAGACTTGCTAAACAAAATACTAATTCTGCATTTAGGGCCCCATCTGTATGTCAGACTGGAAACTTATCAGCCGATGAGCTAGTGGTATAAGTAGAATATTCAAATAGTTTTTTATATATTTTTTCCATCTTTGACTTCCATAATGTCTTAAAAATAGTATTGAGTCCACAAAATCTAGAGTCAAATTACATCTTTTTTCTAAAACATGACCAGCGATGCTGAAATCTCTCACACTTATAGCACTGCTAGCAGGTATACTCAAAATTTTTATAGTTATAAGAGCTAAATTAGGAAAAGAAGAATTTTTCTAACATGTCAACAAACTTTCATCTTAAATTTCTTCTTTTAGAAAAAAATTCACTATACCACTGAACTACATCTTGAACATAGCATGTTCACGTCTGACCACTCATCAAAAAAGCAATTTTTCTGCAAGGATATGCTATTATTTAGGTTCTTTGGACATACATGAATAAATTCTATTTAATGAATTTTGTTTCTGTTAGAACATACTGCTAGAGATAAGAACTACAATATAATTGGAGGCTCCGCCCCTGCTCACTAGAACGCATACACTGCTTGCTTTAGGTAATTTATGATACACCGAATATTACTTTTTACTACTAGACTAAAAGTAATATCTTACAGAGTCATTTAAATGGCGTAAGTTCAGCAGACTTACTATATCTGCATTTTGCTTGATGCTTACGTCGACTTGTCAGGGAACGATGTCCAAAGCCTGGATTAGAACCAACAGAAAGTCCAAAATGCTTCAAACAAAAATTTGAAATATAATCAAAATCTTAAGCTAAACATCTTAATCCTAAGCCTCGCGAAACAAAAGCACCAAGTAGAAGTAGCAGATCCATAAATTTAAATTTTTTATACTTAACTGAACCAAACATCTGTTAAAAAGAAGCAAAATATTTCATGAAAATTTTAGCATAAGCCTGAGAACTTTTTTCAATAAAAGAGTCTGAACCGGCTTTGGGCCCAAACCCAGCCCATCTCATATCTAGTGCACATTCGATTTATCAAAGAATCCAACTTGAATAAAAATTTCATCTTTCATTAATGAAACAAGATCTCAAAATTTTAACGCATAGAATTGAGATATTCATAAGGTGAAATGGAAGGGTACATTACCTGTTTACATTATTTATTCTCACTGTATCTTTACAGTACTAGAATCAAATTCGTTAAAAATGAAAATGTATGAATCTGAATTTGAAGGTCAATAAGTAAATAATTTAAATACAGTAAGATTAAAACTTTAACACATTAAAAAGATGTGTAGATGCTCTATTATAACATTTAAACAGTCTTTATAAATTTTAAATAATTAAAACTATATTTACTTTAACAACATTTGTTCCATCAGAAGCAGAAACAAAATAAAGTGGCATTTTCAGTTTTTGTGGTAGATGAAAAGACTTTTTTGTTACGGTAGGATTGGCTAAAAATAAATAATTTCAAGTTCAGTCAAAAACAGAGAACAAAATTTAAAGATAGTTAGCTTATAACAGCAAAATTAAATTTTTACTTTTAAATACCAAATGACATCTGACAATAAATAACAATTCACAATAAAATCTCATTTTTCATGTTATGCAAACAAAGCATATAAAAACCAGTCCTTTGTTCTTCTTATTTAAGCTATAATCTAAAACTAGATAAAAAAAAATACTGATAAATTAAGGACTTTTAAATGAAAGCCAAAGTTAAAATAAACATGAATACTGTAGAGCTAATGCTTAGTTTTTTTTTTTTTTTTTTTTTTTTTTTTTTTACTTATGTATTGAGTAATTTTCATGTTTTTTTCATTGGCCACTCAAAGTAAAAGACTCTGAGCAAAATATATGTTTGGTAAAGCTTATCACGATTTGTTATAATTTTTAAACATTTCTTATTAACAATGTGAAAAAAAATAATATCATTCCCAATATATTTTTACATCAATTACTGTTCAATATAATTGATGATAAGAAACAAGTCTTAAATTTAAAGGAAAAAAATTTATAAAAAATTATATTTCTTTAACTTTTAATATTATATGAAAACAAATACAAAAGTTTCAGCCATAGGGCTCAGCACAGGTCATTGTACAAAAGTAATGAAAAAGTGACCAATTTGTTATTAAAAAGTGATAAAATTAAAAAGTGTTAATATCCAGGCAACATCTTAATAACCTTAAAAAAGAAAGAAAAAAATTGGTTTAGAAATATTTATTGCTGTTGAAATCAAATGTAACTTTAAATTACATTTTAATTAACTGCTACTGAAATTATTTTTTAAAAATTACATAATATTTTCTAATATTTACTAACTAAAAAATATTTGTTTAACTCTAACTACTACAGTTTAAAGTATTATATTAAAATAGCACAGAACGTATACAACAAAAATAAGGTTGATATCAAGTAAAGTCAATACATGTTGATAAATTGCACTCTATTTGCTATTGCTGTTTTTTTTATTAAAATAAATTTCCGTTAAATAATTCATCATTGTTAAAACAAAAAAACGCAGAAAACAACATAGTTATACAGTGGAATTATAGTGAAATCGACATGTCAAACAGTGATTACTAAAATATGAAAAACATGTTAAAAGTATCAAAATTGAGAGAATGTGCTGAACTGGCAGAAAATTGACAAATGACTGGTAAAAAAGAAGAAAAAAACAACTTATCACTGTGAATTTATGATAGAGGCTTTGGGAACTGAGTGCCTCAGACGATAATACTACCTTAACTTCTTCAGGACCAACGAAAGAGAAAAAGAGTCCTTTTCAGATACATACGCTTAAAGTTTATCTGCACTAATATGACATGTAATGTGAGAATACTACATTGAGACTATGTCCGAGTGATCCTAAATCACTAGGGTTACAAAGGTGTCATTTCAGATATGTTACCGTGCAGAGAGAACCGAATGATCGAATGTGATCATGGTCCTAAAGGGGATAAATTCGAAATATGCACACAATAATAACATGTGGAATCATGACAGAGCTAAGCCACTCAAAATGTGATTTTTTTAAAATAAATCATTAAAAGATAGTTGCTATGTAACCTAAAACTTGTGTGCCGTTATGACATCGATACAACATTGTTACAACATCTATAATGACAAAATATAACATGTATTAATATCAAATGAAATGGAAGAAAAGCAATCTAGAAACAAGGATTTACAATTGAAACTTTGTGAATCAAGTGCTTCAAAAAATGTTAGCTGTTAAAAATGAACAAAAAGCATGCCGTAATAACATCATATTAAAAATATCAAATTTAGAAAGCGTGGAAAGGGCTGAAATGATAAATAATTGCAAAACAAAACCTGTCATTCAAGGACGTGAAATTCTAACGAAATCTCTGCGAATCGAAAGCCTCAAAAGATAAATGAATCGAAAAATCATAAAGCTTTCTCAGTGAATGTGATTCACGCATCCGCAGGCAGCTTGTCGTACATTTTATAACTGTTATTGAACAGCCGACCCAATTTCGGGTTTGCGACTACCGAAGTTCAATTCTGTAGCCTTGTAATCTTGCACCCAATGTAGAAGAGAAAGAAACTCCTAGATCAAGTACTGGAAGAAATTTGCCTTCGTGGAGGATTTGATGGAACTAACCCGTATCTACGTTACATGGAGCTAAGAACCACGAAAACCTCCCATAGTTATTCGACGGCAAGGGGACTATAACCCATGATCCGCTACCACTGAGAATATTTTACGCCTACACTGTGGTCAGTGCGGCCTGGCTGCAGAATGTGAATCGACCAGCCACCGTTGGGTTACGATCCCGGTTCACCTCATTAAAAAGTGAGCGTGCAATCCTCTGAGCCACCATGGCTTAGCTTGTCTCACATGAGATTTTTAAACATTCGTACAAGTGTCTAGACTAATCGTCAGAGGGGGGGAAACCATGAGAAATCTCGATGGCATTAAATACGCCCAAGAGCAATTTTAGAATAAATCATCAAAAAAATTTAGATACTGAAAGTCAACAAATGGTTGTACATACTGTTAAAGCCAAGTAAAAATATATATCAAAATATCAAGGTTAGTTTTGCTAAATTTTGTTAAGTTCTAATTTTTAACAGTGATGAACACAACTAAGACAAAAGATAGTTAAAATTGTTCTTGTATCTGTTACTCTTCTTTAATAGACATTAATGGTTTAATGTTAAAATATTATGAGAGCCTCTTGATAAATAGAATATTTAATACAAATTATTAAAAAAAAATTTCATTCCAAGATAACATGAGATAAAAACAAGAGGAGGAAAGGTAACACAGTTCTTCTTGAATATTTGTTAATTGAAAATATGTATTTAAAAATAAAAGATTTTAATAACTTTTATTTTCTCATTTTGTCTTCGATATAAGAAAATAAATATGCTAAATATATTTCAAAACTAACTTTGTACAATTGAAATCTGTTATACCTAAATTAAGTATACCATAATACCAGTAAATTGGGCAGGGAAATTAAAAAAAAAAAATAGATTTAAATGTTAAAAACATTCTTAATTTAAAATAAATTTCTTTCATTTTGTTATTAAATCTTCCACAATATTTGAAAATTTTAACACCAGCTTTGTCAACTTATGTTTACTAATAAAAAAGATTAGAAAATATCACAAATATAGCATGGAAGTAGATTTCTTGCATGGAAGTAGATTCCTTCCATGCAAGAAATTTCCACCTATTATAAAACAATTAGAATATCTCACAAGAATATTATAAATATTTAAAAAACAAGAAAATTGATACAAATATTAACCAAGGGAAAAATAAAAGAGATAAATTAGGTTTAAAAGTGATGTTTGTGACAGATAAAATAAGCTTAGCATCTTACTAAAAATTATACCTAAGGGTTCCACAATTTTACTTAGATAACTAGGTTGTAAAAAACTAGGAATAATTGATGATTAGTAATTTTAGTTTCACAAAACCTTGCAAAGATAATTAATATGCAGTACCATCAATTTTGTTGGCAGCACATAAACAAGGAATTTCTGGACGATATTCTCTTAATTCAGTATGCCACCTTGTGAGGCTTTTGTAAGTTGGTTTTCTAGTACTATCAAACACCTGTGAAGAAAAATCATTGCATAATGAAGAGAATATAAAGTTATAGTGAATACAGGATAAATTTATATATAGATATATATCATCAAAATTATCGGTACACATTTCTAACAATCTTTTTTGTATTTTATTTTACCTTATGACACACAATTATAAACACAATAAACACTCTATTACATTGAATTCCTTAATGTTCATACTGTGCTAAGTATATATAAATTAGAATTATTTCCCTTTGACAAAGAAGCACATTTGTGTTAGACTTGATTTAAGCTTCCTTTTTTGTAGTTTCTCTGCTGTGTCTAGGATTTAATAGTTTTTAATGATATCAACAATTTCCATTTTAAAAAAAAGATAATTCCTACATAAGAAATAAATAATTTGTATCTGATCACGCTTACAAGCAAACCCCAGGCCCGGATTTATTTAGATGAAAATAGATTTGATACTAATAAAATCTGGTAACCAAGAATAATTACAGTCACATATATTTCAGGACTCTTCATTCATTTTGAGCACCCAATTAGTTGACGTCTCCGGTATAAGATCCTCCTAGCCAGTTGGATAGTGGAAAGCATAAATTGAAAAAATTTTCAACAATTTATTTTAAATGTTGTTTGATTCCTTTTAAAATTTTCACTGTAAAATCTAAATTATAGAATATTATAAATGATCACAGATTATTTATAAAATTAAAGTAAACAAGTATTAAGATAATATTGCTATACTTATACTATAATAGTGCTATAGTGTTATTCTTTATTTTTGAATACAAATTTTACAATAATATAATTATTTGTAACTACTATGTAAGCAAGTTACTTTTTCAAAAAACCAATGATAAGCTCAAGTACTAAGACATAAACAATATTACAAGACTGAAATAATTACTAAGTAAGTTAAAAAAAAATTATGGTTTAAGAATGTACATCTCTTTAACTAATATTCATTACCTGCACATGTCAGATTTAGTTTATATTCAGTCCCTCCCTCCCAAAAAAAAAATAATAAATTGCATACTAATTTTACAATTGGGCTCTATTCTGGTTAAGTGCTAAATAATATACAGCATAACAAAAAAGAAAACTCTATTCAACAGATATCACATTTGATATTTTCAGATAGTATTTTTGATTAAAAACATTAATTTTATTTATTCAATCAATCATATACCATATTCAAATATTTAAAATGGAAAAAAAGATAAGAACATATTCTATGACACTTAACTGTTTACTTATGAACAATATTTGGAGATCAAAATAGTTATCAAACATTTACAATGGATGATGTTTTTGCATGATCTTGCATCATTTTTGCATGAATTAAATAATTTTTAAGAATTCTCCTGGAAGCTGTTGGTCTCAGTCCCTCCTCCCAATTGTTAACTCATTTTCCCTGCTCTGCGTAATCTTGAAGTACATTTAATCCACAAATGCAATCCAAGTCAATCATTATATTTCATTGACAACTGCTCTAGTAAGGTATAGTATGGAAGCCTTTAGATTCAAAAAATAGGGTGGTACATGCTTGGGATTATAAATAAATTTAGGAAACGTGTTTTATAGCTTTCTTTTGTTATTTTCGAAAAAAAGGTATCTATAAAAAAAAAGCCAATCTTCTAAATTCTTTACATGGAAGGATATCCGTCAAGATTCCAGGCAATTGGATATTTTTTGTTGGATAAAAAATTCTTCAATAACAGTAAAGAAAATAAATCTTTATTTTTTACACTTACTGCATGACATATAATGTTTTTAAAAAAAATGCGTAAGAAGGAAATTTAAACGATTTTAAGCAGTCTGTTAATTTTATTATAATTGCTTAAAATTTTTAGAACATCTTTAGAAAATCATTTGACAAAATATTAGTTGATTTGCAAATTAATTTCAGAAAATTATTACTATTTCAACACATACAGAGTATTGATACATGATCAGAAAATAAAAAAAGAGGCAGAATTTTTATACCATTATACAAGCGTGGGCATCATGGTAATAAGATGGGTGTAAGTTGTTGAACTTTTCTTGTCCAGCAGTATCCCATATATCTACAAGAGAAAATTGTGTTCAAATTCAAATACTGAAAATTGTGAAACATAATTTTTATATTAAATAATTCTAAAAATATTTTGTTTTAACATTAGAAAAAAGGAGATCAGTTGGTCTATAATTAATTTACAACAAATTCTTAGACATCCAATAGTAGATGAAAATGTAAGTAGTAGAGTAAAAGTTAGACTCAGAATATGACCAATAGAAAGGCTCAAATAACCAAAAAAAAATTTAAATTATTATATAAGTTTTTTTTTTTTTGATGAAATTTTCTTGTAAGTTTCTTTTTGCAAAAAGCCAATTGGAATTTTCAAAAATCTTCTGTAAAATACTAATACAAGTAATAACAATAAATGAGCCCATCTGCTTTAATCTCACTCAAATATAAGAATATAGTTTAGAAAGAGCGCCAGCTGCCTCCTTGCCCTAAAAACTAAACCAAAACTGCAAGAATTGAAACACACAGTTATGCCATGCTCAGGAGAACATGAAATTTTCTCCTTGTCAATAAGAGAAGGTGGGAATAGGAAAAATAATGCTAAAAAAAAAGAAAATTTTTAGGATTCTGTTACATGCTCAGAGATGTAGTAGAGGGGGGGGGGTATGCAGAAAAATGGGTCTCCCAGTAAGTTTTGTTAAAAGTCCAATCTTTCTGTCAATTTCGCAGTTTTTTATTAATTGCATATTTTTAATACAATACTTTTGTATCAAAAATGTATTTATGTACAGCATTTGGTCTTTTAAAGTTGGATGAAAAGTAAAAATTCTGTAGGCAGCACCATTTATTGCTGCACTGATCCAGGTATATTTTACACATAAAATCAAAGCTACCTATCACATCTAATCACCCTTCTCCATCCCAGAGAACAGCATAAATTTGAAGACTTTTAACAATTTTTAAAACAAATGCAGTTAAAAACGAAAGTTTTTGTAACACGTCTACAGGTTACTTTTTAAAAAAATGCCATTTAGTTAAACCACTTAGTTAACTCAATAACAACAGAGAGCTTAGAAGAATTAGCAAAAAGGTGGGTAAATAACATATTAATTTCTACATTTTTATTGTTTTAAGTGAAGTGTTCTTATAATTTGTTAACAGCACAACTTACATTTATTTTTAAAATTTTATTAATTTAATTTGCAATGGCATGAATAATAACATGTTGTAAGATGAATAAATATGCTGTAAGACACAATTTCATACACTGTGCCCATCACATATTAAACTCACATTCATTCTGGGAATATTTGGGTTTGTAAAGTCAGGGATGAGACTAGCCAAAAAGCTGAATTTCCAAGTTAGTAAATTTTACGCAAGCACAACCCTTTAATAATAAATTCCAGACAGTTTAAGGTAATAAATAATGTGTTGACATACAATTGTGTACTAATCTATTATTATATAAATGATTACATTGATACTTAACATTTAGTGAAAATAAAAATTACCAATTGAAAAAATAAAGCTGGAAATTATATTTTTCCTCAGTTCACATAAGAGACAATTATTACTTGAAAAACTACCTGGTTTAGCAAATTAAAACTACTGAGAATATACATTAATATTTCATTTCTTTTAATAAATACTGTTATGTGATTTATAGCAAATATATCAGTAATATTACTTTTTAAATTATATTGGAAAAAAAAACTTTAACAATGGACCGAATCATTATGTTCATATTATAGTCTAATCTAACTAGAGCCCTCTGAAACATATCAATAACAGTGAAGTAGAAATATATAGTAACTCCTTAACATACAAAAATTGCTATTTTAGTTTGAAAAATTACATGACAATCAGCAACTGTTTAGATTATTGTTTTTTATTTTATAAGAATTTTGCCTTTTATTGCATAAATAACAGCAATTATAAATAAAATTTTGATAAGTCAATCAACTCTTTTAAAAAAATTTTTTTTAATTAAATCTCTTTTTAAGTGATTGCTTTTGTTTGCTATATCTTTTATGTTTGCTATATTTAGTCGTTAGTACATCTTCAAACATCTTGTGACAAATCCTATTTTTTCTTCTTTGCAAGCACATAATGTAATTTTTGAATATATTCCCTTCCAGTTTCTTTGATGTTGTAACACTTACATATACTAATAATCGTCGTTAGAAAAACAGCCACCTTTATAGTAACTAATTAAAAAAGAAATTTACTTCTTATAAGAATCGCGATAGTTGATTTTAAAATTGCGTGAATATGAATAACAATTATGGATTTTGAAATCACATGAATATGAAACTAAATATACGATTTTGAAAATGAGGAAATACAAGGGATAGATAGAATTTTTAAAAAGCGTAAATACAAATCACGATTCATAATTTTTAGATTGCGTAAATACGCATCATGATGCGTAATTTTTAAATTGCATAAATAAGAATTATGATGCATAATTTTTAGAATGCGTGAATGCGAATCCCAATGCCTTATTTTAAAATCACGTATAAATACGAAAATCAATGTTTGATATTATAAACTGCACGAGCAAATCAAGACATTAATTTTAAACTTGTGTGAATACGAAACACTACATAAGTTTTTATTAAGACTTGAATACGAATCACAATATCGGATTTTAAAATCTCTTAAATAAGAATCAAAATGTACAATATTCAAATCGCGTGAATAAGAATCGCAACACGCAAATATGAAAAGCTATGTTTGATATTAAAATCGTGTGAATAAGAATCGAGATATTAGCAGATTCCAGGCTTGGGACCTCTAAAAGGCTTGTAAGAAGCAGCGTCGTTTGAACTATAAAAATCAGATCTAGCTGGAGGACGAGTAAAAAATTCGGAAAATCTTATCTGCTGCGAGTAAAAGGGGAGAAAATAGCTAAAATAAGTAAAAATGAGAAAGGATTGGTAGCTATGTAGTTTGAATTTTCTGAAAAAGCGGAATACTTATAAAGAAAAGTGAAACTTTTAGAAAAATCTGTATTTTTGATTTAAAAAAAACTGAAATTCAAGAGAAAAAAGTGAAAAACGCGGAAAAATCTCATCCCTGAAAGTGAATTATTTTATTTAAGCATTGTACAATTTAAGTATTGAATATTATTTAAAAAACTAATTTATTTAAGCTTAAATTCTAATTTAAACTTAAATTAAATAAATAATTGAAGTGATATAAGCAACAAAATAAATACTCACCTACTAAAATATTTTCATCATCTATTTTTGTTTTATACTGAAACATAGTCAGAGCATAGGTTGATAGTGAATGTGGTTTACTACAAACATTAAGAAAAATATCATAGCTATTTATATTGTTTCAAAATTTCAAGCTTAATATTATCGAAAGATATAAGTTTTATTTTCAATTGTGGTGTTAATATATAAATCACCAATTTCGATTTGGTATAGTTTGATATTACAACCGAATAAATGAATCACGACATTAGATTTTAAACTCACCTGAATATGAATCGCTACATAGGGATTTAAAAACAAGTCAATGCAAATCACGATATAGGATTTTTAAATTTCCTAAATAAGAATCGCAATGTATGATGTTTAAATCGCTTGAATAAGAATCACTATGTGCCACTCTTAAATCCGCTAAATATGAAAATCAATGTTTGATATTAAAATAGAGTGAATAAGAATCAAGATATTAGCAGATTCTGGACATTGGATTTCTAAAAGGCTTGTTTGTATTGTTTTTGTTCAGCCATAATAAGTAAAAATTGAAAAGATTAATTGAATGAGCAAATAAATATTTTCACCGCAAATCCAACGTCAATTTCTTTATTATTTCATTTGCTTTCGCACCAGCAAACAGGAAGCAGCAACCTCAACGAAAATAGGAGCCATCTGGCGGACGGGTAAAAACGGAGAAAATAGCTAAAATAAGCAAAAATGCGGAAAGGTTAGCAGCTACGACGTAGTTTGAATTTTCTGTTAATCCTTGAAAATACAAAATAAATAAAATTCTTTTATTTCAACAACTGAACTTTCAGAAAAAATGGAATATTTATTTTTAAAAAAAAGAATCTTTTAGAAAATCGGAGTTTTTGATAAAATTACTGACTTGATAAAATTTTGAAAATTTCTGACTTTGAGGTAAAATTATGTCTTTGCTGCCAATTCCCTGACTATACTTTGAATCTCGTTTACCCCCGAAATTTCAACTTTTCCAATATTCCTGTTGCCTATGAGTGTTGCAATAACTACATAGTTTTGCTAGAAGGAGAACAGTACCATCTGCTAAAGAAATCACTATCCATCATAAGTGAGTATTACAGCTTATATACATATAACTATAAAAGAAATTACTTAGTAGAGTTTAAAATTGTAGTTCAAAAGAGAGATAATGAGTTTCAGCGAGAAATAATATGAAATAAAAATTATTTCCTCAATAGCTGAGACACTTACTTACATAAAAAAGTCAGCTCTTTGAACTTTAATTCTTAATTAATGTCGCAAAACATTAATTATTTTCATGAATTAAACTCATTAAAATACAACGGTTCTAATAATGGATATGTAATTAAATAAAAGGACATCAAAAAATTTGAGCTATAAAATTGAAATATATAATGGTACAAATGTCTTAAATTTTGCCTGATAAATCCTGATAAAGCAGTTTATATATTATTAGCAGGAAAAAAATGTAAATGAAGGTAGATCTGAAATTAAACTACAAAGAAAAGCAATGTATTATTAAAATTTTAAGAAAGCAATGTTGAAACAATTAAAAAAAGGATACTATCCATCTAATAAAAATCTTTCAACTAACCTGGAAATACAGAAAACATTAGTATATATATATAATACAAAAATTATGTTAAAAATAAAAAGAAACATGCTCGAATTATGAAACTATTAATTAAATATATCACAGTAAAATAAAAACAGGAACCAATATAGCATTTCAGCAAACTACAAATTAAAGGATAGTTGAACCTTGATCCAATGTTCCATTAATGCAAAGACGGCACATATTAGAAAACAAAAGATACACCTGAGAAAACAAAATATCTTTTATTTCTTCCTATGTATCATCTTGTTTCAATTGTTACATCAGAACCTGCTGTCGACCTCGACTCCAAGCGCCTGCAGCGGCTTTGGCACTGCCGCCTTGTAGCTTCGGTTTCGGATCCAAACTGGCCTCCTTTATCAGTCGCCACGAATTATAGTACTATCTTTGGAGTTCCCCCACACGACAACCAACCATTATCCTTTGGATGCCCCCAACGGGATAGGGCCAGCTACGCTTGTTTCATCACAAATCCTATTCTTATAAGGTAAATAGAACCTTATAAGAATATATACCTAATCGAACCTTATAGATAGAATATAAGCCTAATAAGAATGCATTCTTTAATGTGTTATGCATTAAGTAAACTTAAACAATTCTTAAATTTATAATATTTTATTTAAAAAATTGCCAGAAATCAATTTTTATNATTTTTAAGGTATACGAAATTTTATGAATAAATATAAATTGATCAATCATTTATTCACAAAAAAATTACGATTTAATATTAATAAGAATGCGCACGCGATGTTTGTTAAAATAGAAATATTTTCTTAGAATACTACATTTGGAATTTAAACTTAGGGAAACTTAGTTTGTCTGGAATTGAATTTCTTTCCCTCCCTCCGGAAGGGTTTATTCGATTAAAAAAACGATAATGAAATAAACAAATCTGTGAAGGGTCCGATTAAAAGATAACTTATTTTGTGAAGGGTCGTTTTTATAAAAAGATATTTAGTGAAGGGTCTGTTAACAGACCCAAAATTCTTCTATAAACAGACCCCTGGTGATATTGATAAAATCATAATTACAAAACAAAGCATATTATCTGAATTTAAATGAATTTACAGAAAATAAACAGCAACCAGTTATCAATTTCAAAAAAGTATTGTTTGTGCTGAGAAGAAAAGAGTGTGTTAAAACCAAAATTTAAAATTAGAATTCTTTATACTCTCTGAAAATTTACTAATTTTCAAGTCCATTATTTCTTTACTTTTTGTATGTTTTTAAGTCATTTGATATTTTATCGTTGAATCCAATAGGCTGTTTTCTAGTATATAACATCTATAATGAATGGTCCCATTAGAAATGATCTATCGAGATTCTATTCGATTTAAAATTTATGAACCTACAAGCATGTGATAGGTTTTTTTTCTTCAATAAAAATACTTTTAGAGACTTAAAAGAAACGAAGTTGCTTTTTTAACATTATTTGAGTACAATAAAAAACATTTTTCTAAAACCATAAGTTAAAATATATTTGAATAAGAAAGTAAATATTTACATCCCGAAGAAAACTAAAGAAGTAATACCATTGCCATTAACTAATTCCTACTGAGCCTAGTATTCTAACATTGACTATACACCTGTTTAGCTTTCAATAAGTTATATTACCATTTAAAGAAATTCAAAATCGTTAAATTCTGGTAAAGACGTGTAAAATGAACAGATGTATACATGTCATATGCAATCCATAAGGAAATCCCAGATTACTGTGTTTTTGAAATGACATACAACACATTGGATTCTAATTTTTGTAGAGAAACCTATCAAAATATATCATTGAATTTCTTTTGGCTAAATCAAAGTGGTGTAAAGTTAAGTTCAAATAAATATGACATTAATGTTTGAAGATTTCTTGTGGTTTTCCTCCTACTCATATAACTTCTATAAAAATCTAATTATTTTAAAGATGTTACAATAATGTATTTTTATAAAACTAATATTAAAAAAAGTTTAAACTTCGCAAGCGAAGAATGCTAGCCTATTTCTCTACAATATGTTTAAATAGAAAGAAAGACATAATTTGAAATATTTCAATTGATATTGATCTCGTGTGGAAAATCATTTATTATACATGAGATAAAAGAGTAATCAAAACTAGCTAGCAAATAAATTGACAGAAAGAATCAATATAACTATCTTTTCTTAAGATTTTTGCTTACTTTGATTTTCCGACAGCACTATCTCCTAAACAAATTATTTTAATTCGGAGACTTCCATCCTCTTGAACAGAATTGTAATCAACATCGCTCGGAGAATTTGGTGTTCGTTCAGAAACATGTTCATCAGTCATGATAATTAAAACTGAAAGAAAACTAATTAACTGAGAAAAAGTACAAGAACAATAGAAAACACTGAATACAGATTGATAAAAGTTTGAGTATCTCAAATGTAAACAAACTTACAGTTGACATACAAAAATAATTATAAGCCGAACATAGAACACCGGCCAGGGATGACTGTCATTCGTTTGTAAATAAAACTTCCCCTGGACTTGCGTTTTCTCTGCAACGCATATGGTTACGATTATGATTAATTTTCTGCAGAGATTGAATTATTTGATGAAAGTTTCACTGAAGCCTTGAGAGTGGAGTATTTGCGTTGACATCTATTATTTAATAATAAAATCACGCTTGAAACTAACATTTTTGCAATTTGATTGATATTGCTTGTAATTATGTATTCAAAACAAGTTTGTTTGAATACTTGGAAGTTAAAAGAGCGAGTGAACATCGGTTTTATCATCATGCATCTTCTAGGCAGTATCGTAAATGCGCAGTTTTTATATTTTTAAATCCTGACGCTGCCTCCTGCAACTCGATCGCTCTAACAAATTTCACGAAGGACAGCGGAGTGTAAAGAGGAAGGTTGTTGTTGTTGTTAATTTACGTCGCACTGGAGCTGCACAATGGGCTATTGGCGACGGTCTGGGAAACATCCCGGAGGATGATCCGAAGACATGCCATCACAATTTTGATCCTCTGCGGAGGGAATGGCACCCCCGCTTCTGTAGCCCGACGACCTGCGCGCGAAGTCGAGCACTTTACGGTAGCACAGTTTAACGAGGACCGATACCGCACACCCTCGGTCCCTACGCAGACTGATCCAAGTGGTCACCCACCCGCACACTGACCGTAACCAATGATGCTTGACTTCGGTGATCTGCTGGGAACCGTGTCTTAACGATCAGTCCACTGCGGGACTAAAGAGGAAGGCAAATCTATAATAAGGACATTAAAACTTTCAATTTATTACTGAAATTCAATGAACTGTTTTATTTTATTTAATTTTACAACCGTCGTTGAACAGCAGATCCAATTTTGAGTTTACGACAACCAATGCTCAACTCCGTAGCCTTGAAATTTTAAACACAAACCAGAAGACTAAGGAACTCCTGGATCAAGTGTTATGAGAATTTTGCCTTCGTGGAAGACTTTTTGATGGTACTAGCCCATATTCACGTTACATTGTGAGGAAAACCACGAAAACCTCCTCCTTGTTAGCCTGGCGGTTAAAGGACACTAACCCATGATCCGTCTACAACAGAGAATATTTTTAAGTTAGCACTGTGGTCGGTACGAGCCGGGTGCAGAATTCGTATCGAGCAGGTATCGCTGGGATTCGAACCCGGTTTACCTCATTGGGAGGTGAGCGTGCTATCCCCTGAGCCACCACGGCTCTCAACGGACTATTTTATTTTATTTTTTATAACCGTCGTTGAACAGCAGACCCAATTTCATGGGTTTACGACTACTTACGTTCAACTCCGTAGCCTTGTAATTTTGAACCGATCCAGAAGACAAGGAAACTCCTGGATCAGTACCCCCAGAGGTATTGATTTGTTGTGGGAACATGGAGGACTTTGAGACTCGACAGATTTAACGTGCATCAGTCACCATTTACTACACGGGGAGTCTTCGGCCGGCGAGGATCGAACCCACGACCTCTTGGATATGGGCCCAGCGCCCTACCGACTAGGCTATCCCGGCCCTCAACGGACTATTGGCGACAGTCTGGGAAACACTTTTGAGGATGATCCGAAGATATGCTAGCACAACTTTGATCCGATACAGAGTAGGAGTAGATAGTTCTCCCGCTTTAGTATCTCGATGTCCTGCGCGAGAAGTCAAGCGAGCACTTTAAGGTTGAACAATGTAACGAGCGAGAACCAATACCGCGAATCCTGAGTCACTTCGCAGGCAGATCAAAATGGTCACCCATCCTTTCACTGACAGTTCCCTTATGAAAATTTAAGGTATATTTAAGGTTGATTTGAGGTATTTTTGAGGTATTAAGGTTGTTTTGAGGTATGTTTAAGGTTGCAGAGAAAACAGCAATAAAAATTATACCTCGTAAAGGTTGTAATTAAGGTGTACGAGGTTGATTTATATATACTTCAGCTTGTTTTGAGG